TGTCCCTGATTCCCTGGGGAGGCACACCCCAGCCTGCAGAGCCTGAGGAGGGGATACCTTGCTCCCCAGTCTTCAAGTGGCAGCAATAACTCGCTGAGCCCATGTCACCCTTGGGGTCTCTCTCCCCTTTTCTTGTGGGAGAGGCAGGCCCACACCTGGGTGGCTCTGTGGGCCCCTGACAGTCTTGCTTCATCTGTCTCCTGTCATCAGCTTGCAAGGCGTCTGCTGACCTCATCCCATCTCTGTTTCTGTTGCCACAGAGTGGGCTGATGAAACCTGTGAGCCAAACCCGTGACCTCTGCCTCAGAGGGTTTCCCACCCAAACCCTTGGTGTTCTCTCCAGAATGTGTTTGCTCCTCTTTTTTTTTTTTTCATTTTAATGAGAAAAAAAGATAAAATAGCAATGAAACAGTTTCAAAGCAGGTGAGTAGGACAGCTACAATAATTAATACATCACACATTGTTGTCTTCATAGTAACTATTCAGAGGACAAGGTGCAGACGTGATATCTTGTCTAAACAATATTAGTACAAACCTTCTGCTCCTCTTTTGTAATCTGAGTAGACTGAGAATTTTCCGCAACTTCAAGTTCTGATTCCTTGTTCTTCCAGTGCCTCTCTTCTCTGCATTTTACTGACGAATCCAGGCCAGTGTCAACACTTTGCTCAGAAATCTCTTCAACAAGGGACTGAAGGCGAGATAGCTTAGCTGTTTAAGCTTCTACTTGGCAAGTGCAAGGTCCAGAGTTCAATGCCTGATACCAAAAAAAAGAAAAGAAATCTTTTCAGCTACATATCCAACTTCATTTCTTTTAGCTTCTACTTTTTTTTTTTTTTTTTTTGAGACAGGGTCTCATTATGTAGCCCAGGAAGGTCTCAAAGTGGCAGTGAACCTCAGCCTCAGCCTCAGCTCCTGAGTGCTGGGATTACAGGCATGTGTTGACATTCCAGCTTCCAGTCTAAGTTTAACCTCTAGGGGCTGGTGAGATGGCTCAGTGGTCTAAAGCACCTACTTAGAACAAGCTTAGCAAAGCACAGGGACCGCGGTTCAATCCCCCAGCACCACATGCCAGCCCACCTCGCCCCCTGGTGGGCTGAGCTGGCCACACACACAAATAAATAAATAAATTTTAAAAAAATAATAATAATAAGTTTAACCTCTATGTTCTGCGAAACACTAGGACACAATTGAGCCAAGTTCTTTTTTTTTTTTAGAGCAGAATTTATTTATTAGGGAAAAGAAAGCTTCTGTCAGAGAGAGGGCCAGCAGGGGACCTAGGTGGGTTACCAAGGAACCTAATTTTTCTAGGGATTTTTATCGAGCAAATCCATGAGGTGAGACAGGCCTAAGGTGGGAAACATGGCAGCTCACCAGGTGGGACAAAACTACGGTCATTCGATGAGATTACAAACATAACTGCTCAGGTAAAATTAATTAAATTGGAATCAAATGGGGAAGTAAGTCACATAGTGAACGGACATGGTGCTTTTCCTGTAGGAGGTTGGATTAGTGACTGGCTTTTTCAAGATGATTTATAAATATTTAAAATATCAATCCCTGAGGCCCATCCCTAGGGTGGTATGTGGGTGCATTTGTTTAATCTTGTCTTGAGGTCTGGCCCACAGCAGGAATGCCCGTCTCTCCCACAGTTGC